ACCCTGGGTGCCCCAGACACCTGATTCATTCAGGTTGTGTTCACATATAATTGTTAGGATTTATGAAACATCTTTTTTTTTTAAGATTAAAAAGAAAACGTCTTTTAGCTTGTGATTCTTGGTGATGGGCCTGGAAATTACATAAAGGATGGCTTGTTCCTGGGACTTGTTTTTAAAACTGCACATAAACCACTTGCCAGGTATACAGTTGACTGAAGCACAATATTGGAGGGCCTCCTTGGTAGTTCACTTCTCACAGATCTGAACCGAATTGTTTCCTGTCCAATGTCATGCCATATCTAAAATCAGATTATATGAATTTTCCCAGTACATTACTCTACCATTACCCTTTACACTCTGCTTATCCTTTCTTTCTGCAAGCTTTTGAATTAAATACCTACAGAGCAGCACTAAGGATTAGTGATGGCACAGGGTCCACTTGGGGTGACAAATAAACAGGCAGGAGCGACCTGAAAGTAAGATGGGCAGATAAGCCTGTGGAGGGCCAGGCGAAGGGACGGCTGGGGAGAGCTGAGTGAGGAAATGTAGAACACCAAAGACAGCCTGCACGTCAGTTGCACAGAAATGTTTTGAAGGAAACGATGTTTGAGAGTTGTCCAAAACTAGGAGCATCTCCCAGAAAGGAGAAGAGCGTTGGCTAATATGGGAAGGAGCAGGTGTCAGGGACTGGAGGACGCAGGGTCACTGCTGACCTCACTCCTCTTGGTCTCCAAGACCTGTCTGCTCTTCACTCAGGGGTTACTGAAGCCTGTCTCTTCCTGGTGCAAACACAGATCATGCCTTCCACGTGTCAGCTGGACTTCAGTCCATCCCATATATTATCACCATGCTAATATTCCCAGAGTTTTATTTTTGTCAAGTAATTCTCTTGATGATGATGATAAACTTTCATTCCTTGTAGATAAAGTGCTGTTCCACAGTCTGAAGTTTAGGGAGCATCATCGTCTGACAGCACTCACCCGTGGTTGTCTACCTCTTACTCTTCCACCAGCATTTATCCATTTATTCGTCTCTTTAGTTTGACAAGCCTTCTCAGTGTCCCCTAAATAAATGATGGTCTGTTTTGCTGTCCAGTTCTCTACACCTCGGATGGTCCACCCCCTTCTCTTTCTACCCAGGGTTCAAGATCCAACTCAAGATCTCTTTGAGGCTTTCTGTGCAACTCTTTATGGATATGCTTGTATGATGATTTCTTTATAACTTTCATATGTGCCACCCATCTTGCTCATAAATAAATACTGCCTTGAATTAAAAACATTATTTTGTCTCTTGGCCTAGTCTGTAAGCTCTTTGAGACCAATGACTGTACTATATAGTGATTTTTCATCTATTTTAGTATCTGCCATAGCACTATACACATATTTGCT